CCCCATTCTGCTGTGGCCTGTTGCGCACAGTGTGGCGACGCACAATGCCACAGGAGTCTGTGAACGCGATGAACTCACTGGACATGTACTCCCCTCCCTTGTCATTCTGGAGCGCCTTGATCTTCACCCCCAGCTGGTTCTCAGCATAGGCCTTGAAGCGCTTGAATGCAGCAAAGGCTTCGCTCTTGGCCTTGAGCAGGATGACGACTCTGAATCTGGAGTAGTCGTCAATGAAGGTGATCCAGTAGCGGTAGCCAGAGTGAGTGCGGACAGGCAGAGGGCCATGGACGTCGCTGTGGACGAGCTCCAGAGGCATGGTGGACACATGGGACGAAGGAGGGAAGGGGTTTGCTCGCATTTTGCCTGCTAGGCATGGCTCACAGACAGGATCAGGCTGCTGCTTCGAGCTGAGGGTGAGGCCAGTGACCAGTTCGTCTCTGACAAGCTTCTGGACGTCTGCATAGTTGTTATGAGCAAGACGACGATGCCAGAGGTTGAGGTCGAGGGGCAGAGTGGCTGCAATGCGCGCTGAGGCCTCAACAAGGGGCTCAACTTCACCATCAAGGTAGGCAGCATTGTTGGGGTCAATTGGTGCGACAAAGCGCAGTGTGCCAGACTGATAGAAGGCCATGGCATCGGACGAAATGGTGATGGTAAACCCTTTATTGCGCGCAAGATGAAGACAGAACAGGAGATTGCTTTGCAGATCAGGCACATGCAGCACCCTTGAGAACTCCACAGACCGCACAAATGCTCCCTTCACCCTGGGCCTGAAGACGACCGACCCTACACCAGCAGAATAGACAACCTTGTTGTCTGCCAACTTCACAGACAAGCGCAGTGGCTTGTAATTGTGCAGCCAGTGGTGATGAGGCGTCATATGAGAAGTGGCGCCTGTGTCTGCATTCCAGGTGAAGTCAGCATCGAGCTGGAGCGGTGTAGAGGGCGAAGAGGGCTCAAGGGAGTGTGAGGAGAGGGCACTTGCATTTGCAGCGGATTCTTGGGCAGGTTCTGCAGGCTTCTCCTGCGCAGTGGCAGCCTTGCCTTTGCCCCTAGTGGCGCGTCGCTCCTTGGCCTGCTTCTGGGCCTTCTGGAACGAGTAGCACTGTGGCTGGGAGTGGCCAGATGCACCACAAAAGTTGCAGGGGCCAGAGGACGACGAGGCGACTGCCAGGGCAGACTGGGAGGCAATGGTGGAGTCATGGCGGCGCTGGGCATCCTCAGTGACAAAGGCCTGGATGACTGTGGCCTTCTTGAGGTCGCCATTGAGCAGCTGAGTGCGCAGAAGGGCGAAATCCTCGCGAGGGAGGGCCAGGATCATAGCCATAACAGTGAGCTCACTGTCAAGGTCGTCCAAGGTGTACTTGTCAGGGCGCAGATTCTTGCATTGCTGCATGGCGTCTTCAACGCGGTTAATAACTGCTTGAAGCGACTCAGAATCGCTCTTCCTGATAGACAACAGCGCCTCCCAGGCATTCCAACGTCCAGCAGCATGAGGACGCTGGTGGACACCCTTGAGGGCCGCCCACGTTGCAACAGGGTCGCTGTCAATATTGGAGAAATGCACCTTCTGGTCTGCCTCAACCATGAGATACAACCACCCAGCAGCCTTTGCCTCCTGCACCTCCCACTTCTCCAGTAGTGTGGCCTCCGCTTCAGTGGGGGCTTTGGGGTCCTTGGCTTGTGGCTTGAGGTAGGCACCTGAGACAAGGCGCCACAGGCCTGCAAAGCGCAGCCAGGCAGCCATGTCCCCAGCCCAGGACTTGTAGTTCGAGGCATTGAGCTTGGGGAAGGAGGGAGAGGACGAGTGGTTCGACATTTGTGGCACAAGCAGAGTGGCAGAGGATGAAAGCGCAGATTGTGGCAAGAGGGAAAGATGTGAGAGTATGGGGACAAGGAGTGGTCCGAAAATTGAAGAGATTGACTCTGTGGCGCGCTAGTAGTGTGTGTGGTTGACTGCTAGAGCGCGGGGCTCATAACCTATCAAAAGGCGACGCAGGGAGCAGTTGCACAGGACTAGCACTGAAGGACTGAATGCCACAAGTGGGGCTGAAGTTGAAGTGGGTCACAGAAGTGTCAATTAAAGGACGCTACAGCAGGTCTTTATATACATGAGCAGGGGAAAGCATTCCCACGGCAGAACAATAGAAGAAAGAACAAAGCAGTCCAAAAGGAGAACAAGGGCCACTTGGCCACAGGAACAATGGAACAAAAGAAGTGTGGCCGGGGCTCTGCTCCGGTCCGATTGCTCCGCAATTGATACAATCATGTGGTCACATGGTGTGGTGGCTCCCGCCACCGGGGGATCGTCCTAGGCCGACCAGGGAACTGTGGCAGAGCACATTGTGATACTTCACCTGTGCCATTAAGTCTGCCAGCTCCAAAGGTGCTGAAACAGTACTTGTACTTGCCAAGGGTGAAGTGACGGGGGCGCTTGTTGCTGCCTGGGTGGATCCCAAGGCAACCGTAGCCCGCACGTCAGCGCATTTTGTGTAAGGCTTGTCCTTACAATTGGGGCACTCAAATTGTTGGTACCCTTGCTTCCCGCAGCCATAGCAACTGCCGGGGAAGTTCCCTTTTCTGACGGCTGCATTGATGCTGGCCGAAGCTCCTTGTGATTGGGGTGCACCACCACGTGCCCCACCGTGGCCTTGACCTTGGGCCAAGAAGAAGTTGTTCAACTCGGGCCATCGGGCCTGGCTGATGTCGAGGATCTGCTCGACTTTGGTGGCGCACTTGTCAGCTTCTTGCCACATGGCAAAGGTCTCGAGCTCGATCTTGCGATAGATGCGGAAGGGGATGCCACTCAGGTACTTGTCGTGGAGTTCCACATCCCCATACCCGGAACGGTCCGCCACACCCTTGAACATTGCAGAGAATTCTGCAGTGGTGCACTTCTCGCACATGGTTTTGTCAGCACAGAGTTTAGTAAGCTCCACCTGTGCTGCGGTGGCATCGTCAAGGTTGCTGAAACAGGCTTTGAACACCGTGAGGAAGGCCGTTTCATCGGCGAAGGGTGACATTGCTCCCTGAGTCCCGATCTGAACAGCGGCAAGCTGGGAGAAGATGGGGGTGGCCCAGGTTCGCGCGTCACCATCGAGGAGGCTGAGGGCAACTTGGACCTTCAGCTCGATGGTGGAGAGGGTCGTTTTAACCGCCCAGTAGATGAGCAGCTGGGAGACGAAGCGGTTGCACTCGACGACCATTTTTCCATCGTATTGGAGAGGGAGGAGAAGTTTCAACATCTCCTTATCAGGGACAGTGGC